CAATCAACATATGTGTATGTTTTCAATTGAGATGAACCTAACTGAAAACACAATCCCAAGGTCATATTACCTTTGAGATATCTTAGAATACACTTCACAACAGCAAAATGAGTAGCTAATGGTGAGTGCATAAACTGACACACTTGATTGACAAAAAAATAGATGTCTGGTCTTGTAAATATGAGGTACTGTAATGCCCCAACAATACTTCTGTAGGTGCTAGGATCAGAGACAGGTTCACTACCATGATTTAGAAGCTTCTGATTAGGATAACAAGGTGTGGAACAAGGTTTACAATCCATCATATGCATCTTTTGGAGCAATTTTTTGACATATTTAAACTGATGAACAAAGAGACCCTAAGCCTGATACTCAATCTATAAACCAAGAATAAAATGCAAGAAACCCATGTCCTTCATTTCAAACTCACTGGTTAACTGAGTAATAACACTCTGGACCTTCACATCATCACTGCCGGTAAGAATGATACCATCAACATAAAGTAGGAGAACAATAATTGAAGACCCATCACACTTGACAAATAGAGAAAGGTTTGAGGATTTGAACCTAAGCTTAAGTAAGCAACTTGAGAACTTGTCATTCCAGCCTTTGGAAGTTTGCTTAAGACCATATAAAGATCTCTCTAACTTGCACACATAATATGGACAACTAGAATCCACAAACCCTTGTGGCTGAGACCTATAGACTTCATCCTCAAGAAAACCATGCAGAAAAGCATTCTTGACATCTAAATGTTTAAGTTTCCAATTATGAGATGCAACCAATGACAGAACTAATCTAACTGTGGTTCGTTTAACCACATGACTAAAAGTCCCATAATAATCAAAACCAGCCTTTTGAGAATACCCTTTAGCTACAAGTCTAGCTTTGTACCTGGCCACTAAACCATCTGGATTTTTCTTAATCTTGTAAATCCATTTACAACCTATAAGATTCTTTCCAGGTGGTAAAGGCACAAGCTTCCAAGTTTGTTGTTGAATTAGAGCATCCATCTCTTCTTTCATGATAACTTACCACTGAACAGACTTAACTGCACTAGAAAAAGACTGAGGTTCATTGGCTTCAGAGTCTTTATCAATTTGAGCAAAAAACACTTTTTTTTAACAATTCCAGACTTAGACCTGGTTTGCATAAGATGACAATTCTGGGAAGTAATACACACTGGTTGTAGATCATCAACTTGAGACACATTAGTATTTGGATACTTTTTTGAATTAACAAAAGGAAGAACCTCTGAAGAAGACTCATCATTAGTGGATGAAGGAACATGATCACCAGAATTATTGTGTTGAGAATATGTGGACAAAGTAACATGCTGTGGTCTAGAAGGAAGAGAAGTGGGGTGTGGTGAACCAATAAAGGGAAATGTGGTTGGAATACTAAGTGGATGTATGAATGTATTTGGATGCATAATACACACTGGTAATGAAGTATGACCAAAAGCAACTTTGGAAGGAAAAGAGACATTATCAAAGTGAATGAATGAAACTTGGATTCATCAAATACAACATGCCTAGATACCAACAATTTTTTATCTATGAGAGAGAAACAAATATACCCTTTGTACTGTGTAGCATACCCCAAAAAAATACACTCAGTAGTTTTAGGTTCAAGTTTATTGACTTTGTAGGGTTTCAAGGAAGGATAACAAAAGCACCCAAAAATTATCAAATGATCAAGTTTAGGTGGAGAATGATATAGTAGTTCAAATGGAGACTTCATATGGAGGACAGGTGTGGGCATTCTGTTTATGAGAAATGTAGCAGTAACACATGCATGAAACTAGAACTTTGAAGGTAAGGAGGCTTGTTGTAAAAGTGTAATAGATGTATCTACAATATGTTGATTTTTTCTCTCAGCCAACCCATTTTGTTCTGGGGTATAAAGACAAGATTTTTGATGAACAATGCCTTTGGTAAAAAGAAAACTTTGAAACTGAGTACTAATATGCTCCCCACCCCCATCACTTTACAAAATTTTCACATGAGCAACAAAATTATTGGAAACAAATGCTAGAAAGGTAACAAACACAGAGAACACTGCAACTTTATTATTCAGTGAAAAATCCATGTATATCGTGTACATTCATCAATGAAGGAAACATAATATTTGTAACCTTATATAAACATACTAGGTGAAGGACCCCACACATCAGTGTGAATTACTTCAAATGGAGTAATAGACCTTGAAGCAATTACAGGAAAATGTAGTTTGGTAAACTTGCCTTGCAAGCAAGCTTTACAAGTATGAGAATGAGAATTACAAGAAAAAGGTATACGAGATTTACTAAGTGCTGTAGTGACTATAAAATGTGCAGGATGACCTAATCGACAATGCCACAATACAGAAAAGAATTTTTGACCCACATATGTAACTGGAGTAGAAACATAAGAAATAGACCTTTGTGTTTGAATATAGGAAGTGGATAGATAACATTATTACTCAGCCCTTGGAATAACATTCTCCCGGTGACCTTGTCCTGTATACAAAGAGAAACATCATCAACTATACATTGTCACTTATTATCTTTGCACAACTGATTCATAGATAATAAATGCTGAGACAATTTTGGAACATGCAACATAGAGTTCAACTTGAAATTATGTGACTTAGTGGAAAGAGAAGATGGACCAATATGTTTGATAGCTAGACTTTCACCATTAGCACTTGTCACAGTGTCATTGGATGGATAAGGTGTTGCTATGTGTCAATTTGATAAATCTGAGGTCATATGGTTGGTTATTCCAGAGTCAAGAAGCCAGAAATCTTGTTGAGAAACTGAAGATGATGTACCAGTACGTGTTTGCATAACAAGTAGAGTATTAGACTAAGACATAGCAAATGAATACATTTGGGGCATGGTAAAAGATTGAAACTGTGAACCATGAGACTATGAAATCATGTTCTGTGGAAGACAAAATAGATTCCACACAGAAGCTTGACCATATTGCCCATTATTCATTGAAGTAGGCATAGGTGAAGTAACACCTTGAGAAAAATGCCCTGATAATCCTGGAGAGGTCTTGTTCTAATCAAAACATGTAGCAGCAACATGACCAACTCTGTGACATCTAACACCTATGTTGAAAGTAGTTCAAGGAAGAATGACCTTTGCGATCATAAATTTGACAAATTTGATTCGAATTATAAACCTGGACATAGACTGTTGTGTGCCATTTTGCTGAAACGAATTGGATACATCATAAAACTGAGGCTAAGAATAACCTCTAGGACCATTATATTGTCCTCCAGAGTTGTTACCATAAAATTTCTTCCTTTTTCCTTTGCCTTTGTAATTACTGCCTCGAAAGTTGTTGTATAAGCAAGAACTATGTTGAGTGACAAACGCCATGTGAACATTAGTCATGTACGGCATAGGTAATTGTTGAAATCCTTGAGGCACTTGCTGAAAACCTTGAAGAGACATAGGTGGCAATGACATAAATGGCAGTGGGGAACTAGGAGTGCTAGTAAAACCTTGATTTTTGTGATACAAACCTTGTCCCTGATGAACCCCCATGATCAGAACTAGATCCAGAAGCTTGAATATACATAGCGGACATTAAAGGAATATGTTTAGTAGCTTCATCCAAAGTTGTTTCTTTTGCCTTTAATTAGGATCTCAATTCTTTTAGTGAAACAAGGTTCTCCTTTCCACGAATGACTGCCTTGATAGTATTATACTCATTTGGTAGACCTCTCAGTACCGCAATGACAATGTCCTAATCAGAAATGGTTACACCAGCTGCAGCTAGTTGATCTCTAAACTCCTTGATCCTCTGAAGATATGCATCAACATATTCAGGTATTTTCTTGATATTCTGCAAGTCAATCTTGAGTTGAACAATACTAGTTCTAGTGACACTGGAAAAACGTTCTCGAAGATTCATCCACATTTCTTTGGAACTCCGACAACCAATAATACATGACAAAGCAGAATAAGACAATGTAGCAGAAATCAAAGTCATTAAAGCTTTGTCATGAATTTTCCATACTTTGTATGCATTAGAGACATGGTGATTGTTATCAACAGTTTTTTTCCTCAGAATCAAAATTGACAAACTGATCAGGATAGGGGATAAAACCATTTACAAAACCAGCAATTCCATTTCCTTCCAATAGTAGTTCCATTTGAAAATTCCAGGTAACATAGTTGAAATCATCAAGTTTCACCGTGACAGTATTCCCAACACTCGAAATTAAAGACAAAATAGGTGATTGTGTAAGAGCTAATTGCATAGAAGTCACCATAGCTCTCAGTAAGGTGAATGTAAAGCTTCAACTATCTTAAGACAATTGTAATACTCAAGGACAACACACAACCACAATTAAATCCACTAGCAACAATAACAAACCAGTAATTGCAAAAATCAACAATCTTGAAAAGATGAAACACGAAACCCCCAAATCTTAGGGTTACAGATTCTCAGAAAAACGGAGCCAATGCCCAGAGCAAATACAATGAAAAGAAAAAGGGCAAAAGAATCAACAACACCTGATGCACGAAGGTGATCATGAATCCAGCAAATTAGCCGATAGAAAATCGATCAAGAAGCCACCGACAATTAAGAGTGAACAACAAGCAGAAACCAAAAACTCAACCAAAGAAGATGAAAAACAGATGACCGAAGACGTCACCAAACACCGATCACTAGCAGAAAAGAAAAGCAGAAGCATGAAGGATCATCAACCAAAAGTGTGAGCCACTTCTGACAAGGATACCATGACAACAATGTAAAACCTTAAGAGCTAAAAAAAACAAAAGAGAGAAAGTAGAGAGGGAAAGGTTGTTACAAACCGAATGATTTCTTTTTATTCAACTTGTATACAATAATTACAACTCTTGATATTTATACACCTCTACTAACTAACTAAGACCACTACCAATAATACATAGACACTTGTCATAATCCTATGCACTCATAATATCATCAACTCTAACACGTTCTTGCCACCTGAAATTCGTTTAACGAGACACCATGTTCATGGAGAGGCGTCGTTTGCACCCGCAGCCGACGAACTCGTTGAAAAACTACCCACGAGTGATAGGTTTGAATCTTCCCAACTCTCAGCTTCTGGGTTCAATCCCTGCCAACCTTGGCATGATCGAACACCTTCAAAGTCTCGATCTTTCCAACAATTCCCTCAACAGGTCGCTCTTCAATGCCACAGAGGTTCGGATTTTTTATTTGTCATACAAGTTGATCTTCGAAGAGATGCCGGACATGGTGTCGCAGCTGACCAACCTCCAGAGTCTCAACCTCTCCGTCAATGCCTTGGCGGGAAAATTGCCCACCAATCTGTCTTCTCTGCACTCTCTAACGATAATTTCTTTGAAGGATAATTACTTCTCAGGCAGTCTTCTGAGTGGGTTCGAATCCATTTAGGTGTTGGATCTCTTTGAATTTGATCAACGACTCTCTGCCGTCTAATTTTGGGGGTAACAGTCTGAGTTACTTCAACGTCTCCCACAATGGACTTTTTGGGAAAATCCTACCCTTTGCGAACCTCTCTGATAATTTTGCAAAACCACTAACTTCCCTAACTTCGTCAACACACCTTTAGTTTGGATTAATAGCACTGTGTTGACAATCGACGACATCTTCTGTTTGGAGTAACAACACTACCTCGAGTTCGATTGATTACCTATCTAAGTCTCTCTTAAGGACGAGTCCTTGATTCTCTCGTTGCAAAAGGTCATCTCCTTAGCCTCTCGGCAAAGTGGGGTGTTACTAGGCTACTCAGTGTTCGGCATACTAAAAGCCGAAACTTTATTGAACTTTGCAGAAACTAGCAACCTTATCTTCTAGGACCTAAGGCCGATACGTGCTCCTTTCTTGCCTGTATCATATGTATACATAAGTTTGTAGCGCGTTTGACACCACCACTTCATGCATTTAGTTTCCAACCGAGCTCAATGGAGAGTAATTGGCACACCCACATTCACTAGAAGAACGTAGTTAGTTCATTAGTTACTCAGTTTGCGCACCAAACAGAGTAGGTAGTTTTTAAGTTCAATAATTACCCAGGCCAATATTCTGGCTTAATAACTTGAGGGAAAGGAATGAAATAAAAACCGTAAGAAGTCGTTGCATGTTGACAGCTTGACACAGTACACTAACAGATTCAAAACTTTATATATGCAATCTGACTCCTAAACATATTTAGAATTTAATTAGTTATATGAAAAACAAAACTGATGGTAAAATTCACATGAGATGACCAGACTCTCGCAGAGGAATGACTTTATTCCCTAACAGATATGAATTTTGATTCCCAATAACAAATGACTTAAGCTGCATTAACTACGTGACATAATCCAAAACCCCATATACCATATTTGTTAATCCCTAATATGTAAGACACGGGTTAAGACAAGAAGCAAGCAAAACCATGTTGCTTTTCATCAAAAGTCACAATGCTGATTTATCAAGTTAAATAACGTGTCGACTGCTATTATTAGAGCATCTTTAACGGAGAGATGGAAATTTGAGATGTTGAATTATAAGTATATCTCACTTCCATCTGTATTAAAAATGCTTTTAGAATATTAAAGCAATTAATTAAATTAAGAAGTAGAGACGTTCTGAGTTAGCTCATGGGGGATGAGTTCTGGTGACTTTGTGCTCACGGGGTCGACTACAATTAACGAAGCTTGACCACTTCATTTTCTCCCTCACTCACTCCGATGCTTTGATGTTCAATCTTTATTCGAAAATCTATGCGTAACTTACAAGGTACAAAGCAGGTGCTGTTACAGCTTAGATTAATATTTCGATTGGATTCACATTCAACTGGGTTGGTTATTAAACTGCCAGGTGCATGCTTGCATCTTATCCTTATCATGCAATTTGGTTTGATGATCGAAACTGCTTTCTTTGAGTCGAACTCAATGTTTTGAAACAAACTCAAGTTATTCTATGTTGAGAGAGTGAATATCACGTTAAGAGATCATGCTGTATTTATATCGAGTTAGATTACTTTTTGGGTAAAGTAAAAAAAACTATCTCAACTATTGGTCTCACGACACTTTCATACCTCATCTTTTTAAAATGACAATGTCATACCTCATCTTACGAATTTGTGTCAATGTCGTACCTCCGTCGGTTTTTCTGTTAATTTTTCTATTAAGTGATGACATGGTTAGATAGGGGGCCACTCACTAATCCAACTAGATTAAAATATAATATTTTAATAATTAAAAATTAAAAAATTAATTTTTTTTAATTAAATCTCTCTCCTCTCTCTCCCATCTTTCTCGCCTTTCTCTCTTCTCTGCATCCCCAAAACCCCTTCCCACCCGTCCCCCTCCCCACCTTCCTCCAACACCCTCTCTCTTTCTCGCCTCTCTCTCTTCTCTTTCTCTGGACACCCACTTGCATCCCCAAAACCTTCCCACCCGTCCCCCCCAACCTTCCTCCCCCTCACCCTTTCTTCCCCCCCTCCACGGCTCCCATTAATCTAAATTAGTAAATTGTTCAAACTAATCTTAATTGTACCCATTGCAACAGCTATCAGGCTAATTGATATACCAAAACGCTATCTAACCATATCAATCAAATGGAATTAACACACAACCCACAAAACAAAAAACAAATCCTTTTTGCAAAATAAAAAGTGGGTTGTTTATAATTTCTAATTTTCCAAATACTCTTCAATTAAAATTCAAATACAACAGGAAAACAAAAAGGAGAAAACTTGAAGCATCCATGACTGAACAAGTTGAGAATTACCAGAATATGGAACATTACGATGATGAAGAAAGCTAGAAACAAGTGGACCCCGCCATGTAGCAGCTTGGGTCCCCAAGTGACGACGACGACGAGTGGGAAGGTTGGGAAGGTTTTGGGGATGCAGGTGGGTGTCCAGAGAGAGAGAGAAGAGAGAAAGGCGAGGGAGAGAGAGGGGGTGGTGGAGGAAGGTGGGAAGGGGTCGGGGTCGGGTGGGAAGGGGTTTTGGGAATGCAGAGAAGAGAGAGATGGGAGAGAAAGAGAGAGAGAAGAGAGATATTTAATATAAAAAAATTAATTTTTTAATTTTTAATTATTAAAATATTATATTTTAATCCAGTTGGATTAATGAGTTATCTAGCCACGTCAGCACTTAACAGAAAAATTAACAGAAAAACTGATGGAGGTACGACATTGACACAAATTTGTAAGATGAGGTATGACATTGTAATTTTAAAAAGATGAGGTATGAAAGTATCGTGACACCAATAGTTGAAGTAGTTTTTTGTACTTTACCCTTACTTTTTTTATTGTCAATTGATTTTATGATAAAACCTCAATTTTCTTTATGAGAGTACTGAGAGTAGGTTAACTTACGTGTCACCACGTCATTAGATATATTTGCTCACATGTTAGGTTTAAATGATCTCACACATGAGGAGGCACATTGAGAATGTGAATCCTAGCTTAGAGAATAAAGAGACATTCCGTGTACTTGTAAGGACTTAAATTATTTTTCATATTGTCTATTGATTTTGTGAAGACACCTCAATTTCCTTCATTGTATTTTGAATAAATGGCTATAAACGACTTGTGATTTCTTTTTTTGTTCTTTTTTGTTCTTTTTTTTTGTAAAATAATCTTTGAGGAATTACACCAAAAATGAATGATTAGCAAACAATGTTGTAGAATTGAAAAGAAAATGGAGAAGGCATATATAACACAACAACAACAACAACAAAGCCTTTTCCCACTAAGTGGGGTCGGCTATATGAATCCTAGAACGCCATTGCGCTCGGTTTTGTGTCATGTCCTCCGTTAGATCCAAGTACTCTAAGTCTTTTCTTAGAGTCTCTTCCAAAGTTTTCCTAGGTCTTCCTCTACCCCTTTGGCCCTGAACCTCTGTCCCGTAGTCACATCTTCGAACCGGAGCGTCAGTCGGCCTTCTTTGCACATGTCCAAATCATCGGAGCCGATTTTCTCTCATCTTTCCTACAATTTCGGCTACTCCTACTTTACCTCGGATATCCTCATTCCCAATCTTATCATTTCTCGTGTGCCCACACATCCCACGAAGCATCCTCATCTCCGCTACACCCATTTTGTGTACGTGTTGATGCTTCACCGCCCAACATTCTGTGCCATACAACATCGCTGGCCTTATTGCCGTCCTATAAAATTTTCCCTTGAGCTTCAGTGGCCTACGACGGTCACACAACACGCCGGATGCACTCTTACACTTCATCCATCCAGCTCGTATTCTATGGTTGAGATCTCCATCTAATTCTCCGTTCTCTTTGCAAGATAGATCCTAGGTAGCGAAAACGGTCGCTTTTTGTGATCTTCGCTAGATTGCTCCGGTCATTAGTGTGGATAAGTATATAAATGGATAGAGATAGGAAAGCAAACACAAGATGTACGTGGTTCACCCAGATTGGCTACGTCCACGGAATAGAAGAGTTCTCATTAATTGTGAAGGGTTTACACAAGTACATAGGTTCAAGCTCTCCTTTAGTGAGTACAAGTGAATGATTTAGTACAAATGACATTAGGAAATATTGTGGGAGAATGATCTCGTAATCACGAAACTTCTAAGTATCGGAGTGTGGTGTCGTCTTGACTTGCCTTATCTGTCTCATAGGTAGATGTGGCATCTTCTCTGGAAGTACTCTTCCTCCATCCAGGGGTGGTATCTTTAACTGGTGGAGATGCACAAGGTAATGTATCAATTTCACTTGAAGCTTACTTGTAGTCTCAGGCTTGGTCAAGCGCGATACAAACCATGTAGTAGGAGTCCCCCAAGTCGCCGAGCTAGGGGGTCTGCTGAAAAAGGTGACAGACAAGGTAAGCAATCAGAGCTCCGACTGATTGTTCACCTTCTCCCCATCTTGCAGCAGCATGAAGGATAAAGAGAAGAAAAATGAGAAGAGATGATATGAGATACTTTTGCTTTTGAAGAAGTAACTTTCCACAGGCTTATTCTTGAACTGAGCTGGAGGGTTTTCTGGTTTCCTCCAGAGTATAAGGCCGACTGAAGAATTTGAGGGTCAAAACAAGTCCATCAAATCTAGAGTACGTTCCACCCTGCTGATATGGGATACTTTTGCTTTTGACAGAGTAATGGGTGTATCGGCACGTGTGCTGTTACGCTTGTCTCCACATGCTTCCTTGTATCCTTCGCACTTGCCCTATCTGTTCCTCAAGCAGATGCGGAATCTTCCCTGGAAACATAAGATGTTGAAGATGAGTACTCGAGAGCAATGCCAGGTAAGTAATCAGGTAAGGGGTTCCAGGCAGTCAGTTCCTGGCTGGAAGCTTGATCCAAGTGCTGACTGATTGCTCTCTTTCTCCTTGTCTTGCAGGTAAAAACAAGGCCAAAGGAAAAGACAGGGAAAAAGCATGATATGGGATACTCTTGCTTTTAACCCTGATGATAT